ATTTAACTTCCCCCATACCGGGGCCCACAGTAACTCCTTCCTTTCCCTTTCTTTCCCTTGGCTCCCGTTTCCAATAGAGGGCCGGGGTCGGGGATGCGTAGGAAGGCGAGCTGGTAAAGAGGGTGATCGGATGGCCGGGCAAGAAGCCTTCACTTGGAGATCGAAGTCATATATATTATTACCTCCTGTGTGAACCGAGTTCAGCCCCAGGTGGCATGTTCTTGAACAAATACGCGTGTTCGGAGGACAGCCTGCGTTGGTTTGATCATGAGAGACAAAGCGGAGATAGAACACGAAGAAAAAGAACAAAACAACGGTTTGAAACCGGAAACTCAGGGACGGTTCATGGCTTTCATTTCATTTCATTTTTTTTTTTTTTTAAATAAGAATCAATCATCCGCTCAATTGACAGAGCGTGTGCCCACAAATGCTAAAAGAAGAACAGAAAAGGAGATTGAAAAAAGAAAAAAAAAAAAATTGGAAGGCGGAAAACACCCAGAACATATAAGATTCGGATTAAAAGGTTTAGAAAACAAGAGCCGCCCCCTTTGTCTTCTTGTCACCACTGCAGAGTAGAAAAAGGCCATTAGCAGCCGTTCTTCCCCCAAATTATATAAACATAAAATATAAAAGCACGCTTGGAATGTCTACGTACCCCAACTCGAAATGCTTGCATCGTTTCAGGGCCAGCTGGGCCTTGGTCTTGCAGACTGTGCACTCCAACCGCAGAACAACCTTCTTTGTGGTCTTGGCCTTCTTCCTGAACACGGGCTTCGTTTGACCACCGTAACCGCTTTGCTTACGGTCGTAACGACGCTTTCCCTGTGCAAATAGCGAGGCCTAAAAAAATTGGCAGGGAAAGAAGAGGACGAACACAAACATCAGCAACCACACATAATATATATGCTCCCAGCATTTTTTTTTTCCACCACGAGATGAAAATATGCATCTGTTGGTGCCGGGAATGCATAGCGAGCTTGCATACCTTTCCAGCTTTGTACTGGGTGACCTTATGTTGGGTGTGCTTCCTGCATTCCTTGGACTTGCAGTATGTCCGGCGGGTTTTGGGAACGTTGACCTGTTTTGGGACAGAGCCCAGATGTCAATCAGCATCACTTTCCTGATACGTTGTCTGTCTTTCTTTTCTCCCAGATAAATTGTTCCGCCCACGATTTCCACGCAATATAATCATGGCCACCTGACTGAACAAGTTCACAAATGCAGAGAAATCGTGTAATGTCGGTAACACTGTTTCTTTTTTCTTTTTGTTTTTTTTTTTTTTTTTTGGGCCGTGAGGGATTCCGTCCAATTGTATGTCGCGTCAACCTTTTTGTCGAGGTATCTTTTGGAAAACGTTTTGCGACGATTTTGCCGACTCTGCTCCACGGAGTGAAAACGATGATATTGCGGGGGACATATTGGATAAATGGTTCGAAAGGTTCAAATGGTGAGACTTGATCAACTCCGCCGTCTTTTCCCTCGCGCGGTGTCATCGCATAATTGATTCATATCGGACCAACATAACCCGCCTTCCCTCCACTCGAGATCCCGACATATATTATCTTTCGGGGAGGAGAAAGAACACAGCGACAGGGAGAGCAAGAGGAAAACAGGGCTTCTTACCATTTTGACTGAGATTGGCCGGCTGTCGAACTGAGGGTAATGTCGCTGATGTCGCAGGTTGTCACAGTCTGCGGGCGTTGAGAGTTTGTGGGATTTCGTTCGCTTAGGGCCGTGCAGGCGGCGCTAGTCTGTTTTGGGACCGCGAAGTCTAAACCTCCGGCAGCAACATATCAAACTTGTGAATCCTTCGTCTCAGGGATGTGTCGCGTCGAACGAGATCGCGGATTATGAGGTGATATTGGCTATGTATATACTTGTGTCTTGACCGTTGGCACTTCTCAACCCCCTTAATCCATTTATTTCAGAGGTAGATTTCGAACGCAAGAGGCGTTCAAAACCATCATCTACTACTCAGTATGGTGCTAAGTGGGAACAGGACTATTACCTGGTTAGTTTTACCGCTGGCAAACGCTTCAATATTCACGGTTTGCATGGTCTGTATAGAAAGATACTATATTCTATTCCTAACTTCGGTCAGTAGGTTTAGCATAAATACTAGCACGTCAGGGTCACTTTTGTACCAGCACTGGTCCTAGCATCCATTAGAGACTTGATATGAAGAAGAATCACGACTTGCTTGTAGCAACGTCACGGAGTAGAAGTTTCTTTTCCCTCCAGCTGCCGAGGTATTTGTTCTTATATTTAGTGGGAGTAAAAGAAGAGCACCGCGATCATGGTGTTGTTCATGTCTAAGAACAGCATCGGCTTTTGGCGCAGTCAGAGAATGAACGTGCAGGTTTTCTTTTATTTCCCGTACTCAAAATGCGTAGACATGCTGGCTGAAGGGCATGTAGAGAAATACTAGCATACAGCAATGTATCCGTAGATCTGTTCATCTGTTCCTTGGTGCTGCGTTAAATATCCGGCCAAATCAGGCTCTCCGCGCCAAACCCCACCAGCCCGCGTTGAAAAGTGACCTCACTGCTGCCTCTTGGACAACCTCCGCTCCAGCGACATCAAACATCCTGCAACATCCCCAGCTCCCCTCCATATTGGAAACAGAAACCAACGACCCTGACAGGCTCAAATACTCTTTTTCCAGGCTCTACCATCTGTTTCGCTCACTTCATCACCCATTGCCAGCGCTTCTTCAAGTTGTCACTGATCATTCCATC